TCATGCACAAAAATGGAATTAAGCATACTTTAGTTCCCCCTTACCACCCACAATCGAATGGAGCAGCAGAGAGGTCTGTCAGAGTTGTAAAAGAGTCTTTGACCAAGCAGGTGCTCGAAGGGAAAAAGGGATTGTCCATGAAGCACAGACTAGCTAATTTTCTTTTGAGATATCGCACCACTCCGCACAGCACCACAGGGGTTACTCCTGCTGAACTTATGGTTAAAAGACAACTAAGAACTAGGTTAAGTTTAGTCAAACCTAATTTAGCACAGTTTGTTGAAACTAAGCAAGCTAAACAAAAGGAGCATAAAGATTCCAAGCTCTCTAAAGAGAGATTGTATGAGATATCAGATAAAGTACGTGTGAGAAATACTAGATCTAGATCTCAATTTGAAAAATGGATTCCAGGAACTGTAGTTAAGATTTGTGGTCCCAGGACCTATATTGTTAAAACAGGATATCGTAACAGATATGTCCACACTGATCACATGATTAAGGCACATGATGACATTTCAGACAAAGCTATTGAGACAGAGGTCACCATTCCTGATTCATGTGAACAGCCTGGTCATGAAAATAGAGACAAAATACGGGCTGACGTATCTATTGTACCAGATAGTGTATCACTGTTCCCTGAACCGTCAGTACCATCGGATGATATAGTTTCAGAGACTGTAAGCACACCAATCGTTTTGAGGAGATCTCAGAGAATTAGAAAAGCTGTTGATAGGCTTGATCTTTAAGTTAACGTGTTATGTTATCATGTTATTGTTGTTGTTAATATTTAGTATACACTCACTTCTTTTGGTGGGAAAGTAGTGTAATATATTCATACGTCATTGTATTACCCATGATGCTAGAGAAGGAATAAAGCAGTCAGAGAACCAAGCTGTCTCATGATGTGTTGATTTGTAAACTAGTGGGAAAATACCACAAAGACCACTATATTTTTTAAAACTTAATGAAGCATATGCCCTTATTTTTCATATTTTGTCACAATTTTTGTAATATAGATTTTTGTCACATTATTATTGTTATATTTACAATGTACTGTTCTTTCATCCCTTGTACTGAACAAGACTGAATCTGCAGATCTTTTGGACAAATCACCTGAATGAACCTGATTTCAATATAAAAAAATSATTATTTTATAACGAATACAAACCCTAATTTTTATTTCTTTATTACCTTWCWAGTGAGTAGTTGACATTCATGCTTGCTTTGTTTCAAGATTTTCTTCTATTGGCACATTTGATTCTGCATTGCASTTATTTGTTAAACTTTTGGAACATCTTTGAACCATCCTGATTTTAGAGAGAACAACATTTGGAYTGAACATAAATGAACAAATTAAACTTTCTTAAATGATATAAACTGTCTTCGTAAATTTGTCATATAATAACAAAATGAAATGAAATGAATACTCACTTGATATTTTTYATCTTTCCTTTTTGACCTTATGGGACCAAACTCTTGAATAACACTGATTTGGATAAGRAAAAAAGCAAGATACAAACATATATGATGATATAAACAATGACGAGCACTGTACAATCAGCAACATGCTTTTCTTCTCAAATACTCTCTCTCTCATGCAATTGACTTTGAAACCTTTCTCATAGTTGTATTTATAACATCAGATGTTACGTATAGTGCAAAAAGGCATGTCCACATTAGACAAATTGTCCCATCTACATACATGTGTGTAAAAGTCTAATAATTACATACTTGCTTTCTTTCATTCTCTATGTGGCTCTTTGATGAACAGCTACTTTGAACTTTTCCATTGTACAATGTGCTTGAATACTTCATTCTCATTTCATTACAAACAAAATCTATTCATTTCCTTTGATTTCAAAGTTGCAATTTCTGGCACTGGTGTCAGAAACCAGCGTCAGATATCTTGCTTGCTTGCTCATGAGTACCAGTGACTTCTTTGTTTACTATTATTGGTGGTCTTGTTGTTGAGTGTTGTTGTTTTGAATATGTCTTTCTAAATATACATGTATATTCAATGATGTCTTGGTTGTCTATCTTACTGAGAACAGGTTATCTTCATRGTGAGTATTGTTATCTCTGTTGTACTTTCAGTTTTGGTTTCTTGTCAATGAGTATATAAATTTCTTGTCCTTTAGTATTGCTGTCTTGCTTGTCATCCTAGCATTGGTATCTTGCTTATCTTGCTTGTCCTAGTTCTAGTA